AATTATCTCCAAGGTCCCTTCCAACCCACAGCGTTCTGTGATTGATTCTATGAACGCAGCCACGGTTTCTCAGCATTTATTTTCCTGTCCTGAGGGACCTTATTAAATTCGAGCAATCCAGTTGTCTGAAGAAAGGTTTTTGATGTCTTTGTGTAGTGGCTTCTCCTTGGTATCACAAATGTCATCGTTTACAATTTCCCTTCCAGAAAGGCCAAGGAGCTCCGGGGCGGGAGCCTGTGATCAGCCACGAAGAGCAAAAAGAGATGATGCTGTACTACTACAGGAAGCAGGAGGAGCTGAAGGTAAGTGCTCCTTGGTGCCCGAGAGCTGGGCTGCTCCCACAGGGCTCCGGCTGCGTCCCTCAGCGCCCCCCTCCCCTCTCTGCCGCAGAAACTGGAGGAGGAGGACGACGACTCATTTCTAAATGCTGAGTGGGCGGACAACCATGCTCTGAAAAGGCAATTTCACGGTGTCAAAGACATCAAATGGGGTCCGAGATGAAGCTCTGCGGACCCCTTCTTAAGCTGCTCGGCTGATGCTCTTGTTTGCAGCAAGGAGTTGTTTTGTGTGTGGTAGATTCTTCTGACAGCAGCTGAAACTGTCACTTCTGTGGCCTTAGATGTTCAATAAATCTTCATATTTCTCTATGACTGCAGCAGCACTTTTCTCTGCAAACTAATGAACAAATTCTCTTGAGGTTTGGCGTTTTATTAGAAACTTGTAATTTTGGATATGGAAATGTCAGTCTGTTTCATAGATAAGAGACGTAGTAAATATGCCCTGGAATGTTTGGTGTTTTCAGAGTGGTCTTTATACTCTCTTCTCATTCTTGCATTACTATTAGATGGTGTGCTCTGGAGAAGGTAATTTATTTTACAGGAAATCAGTTTCCCCCAACTAATCCAGGGAGAACTTAGGTTTTTTATGTGCTTGTTCACATTTCAACATAGCTGTTTTCCCAGCTGTCATTTTGAAACTCTTAACAATTGTTTAAAGGCAGTGGTTTTTATATAAACACTACTAACATCCTCGTGGAATGCTTCATTTTCATTCTTCAGGTCTAGTTTTTCTTGCTGGTATGTAGAGGTTGACAGTAACTTGTATACAAAAGTAAGCATCATTTGCAGGTAGATTGGATAAACCCAAGTTTAATAGGACCAGATCTCTTAGGATGGAAGTAAAAAAAAAAATCATAATTTTCTGTATTAGTATCTGTATTGAAGAGACACCAATCAAGTTGAAAGTCAAGGGTTTGCTGAACCTGCAGCTTGAAGACTGGATGCAGAAAAGATAATTGATGCCATTCAGGGAACTATTAATGGTGGTTTTACTTCAGTCACCCATTTTTTTACTTTTAGGCAAGTTTGGAGTCTCAGCTTTACAGTAATATGACTTTTTAGCAAAAGAAAAAGCAGCATTTTTGAGTTGAAAAACTTAAAATATGTTTTATTTAAAATTCACTTGGAATTATTTATTTGGAATTATTTCAAAAAAGGTTTTTAACAAAACACTTTGTTCTACCACTTCCTAAGAGGAAAATCAGTGTCCTGGAGCTTATAATATTCTCATTTCCTCTCTGAAAGCAAGGGAAAAGCAGGCATAGGAAATACTTAACACAGATTCTGCACTCCTTTGCTGTTCTCTACTGTAATTGGTGCCGGGCTTTTTCATTTAGCTGAGCAGATTTTCCATAGCATTGATCTTTTGGGAGTTCTCACAACCATGTTTGTGGATCTGCTGGATTAATTTGTTGTGGCTGAAATGGAATGAACTCACTGGAAATGATTGAAGAGTACTGGAACCCAGGAAAGTCTGTGGGTATTTAACTATCCAAGGAGATAATGAGATAGAAACACCACACGTAGGTTTGCAACTTTGCAAAAGCGTTTTGTCTTTCTTTTAAACCACTAATTTCTGCCAGTATGAGAGTGGCCATGCCCTTCCAAGGAGAAAATCCATTCTCCCTCAAAGGAGACCCACAGCAGAACATTGCTACATTTTTTGTTTTGTGGCCATATCAGTATCCTGATGAATGGAAATGGTTTCCACACCTGGTGTCATTCCTTTTCTCCTTTTCATGGTTTTGCTTTCCCACATTGCTCCATTGTCTGCCTCACCCAGGATTTGGAAGGAGTTATTTATTGCTTCCTGCAACTTCACCCAGCGTTCCTGGCAACAAACTTGGGGCTAATCTCAAGGCAGGAGTGGGAAGTTCAAACAGCAGCTCTGCATGTTGCCTTCCAGCAAGTTCAGATGTGGATGCTGGGTCATATAATTTCATGTGTGTCATGCCCACAGCCCTGTGTGGGGCACGAACCAAATAGTCCAAGCAACATGCAAGCTCTCCTTTTCAGTATTTTCTCCTTAGGCTGCTCTTCTGGGAAATTGCAGGGATTGTGCTGCTGAAACCCCATCCCACTGCCAGCCCTGAGTGTCCTCCCCATAGCATTGCTGCTGTGCCTCGTGGCACCCTCCCTGTGGCTGTGGATACCTCAGCTTGGAGAGATTCCAGCTATGGCACTTGAGCTGCTGTTTTTTTCAGGGCTTGGGACAGCTAAGTGCATACCTCATTACTTTTCTGTTTTGTCTACTGGATGCCTTGGGTGTTGTTTCAGAAAGATCCAAATAATTCAGTGTCTTTATCATGTTTTTTCATGTTTGTCTTCATTCTGACTCTCAGACTGCTGTGAACAGTGAACATTGGGACTAATTGACAGCTTTCCCCAATTAGACTTGGAAAGTTTATGCAAAAAGAATAAAATAGCAATCCAAATTCAAACTATAAATTGTTCAGTCAAAGGAACAGCTCCTGAGTGAAGCTTGACCTCCCAGCCTGGAGCAAAAGCTGCTTCCCCTGCCCTGCTGAGTTGCTCCTGGTGCTGGGGTTTGGACAGAATTTGTCACTATGTTAGAGGACCCATTTAAACAGGCATGCATTATTAGGCACTTACTTTTTATTTTTTTTCCCCCTCAAAGCACATGAAATGCTCCATCTTGGGAAGCAGCCACTTCTCTGGCACCTGCAGGAATTTTTTGCTGTCTGCCTGCCAGTGTGTGGTGGCAGGCAGGGAGGAAAATCAGGAGGGGATCAGGTCATCAATTAAATCACTACTTTAGTACAAAAGGTCTTTTTCCTCTAGGTTGTAAAAGCAAGGAGAGGACTGGGAGTTGGGAAAAGAGAAACATTTTGCCCCAAGGAAGGGACCAACTTCTAAGCTGCAAACTGGTTTCTGCTGATCTGCTTCCACTGCATCTGTTTTGCCACCAGGAGTGAAGGGCCTGGTTTCAGCTGGCAATCCCAACAAGGGCTATCCGATGGCTGGATGTGTGCATGAAGTGAACAAAGTGGGGAAGGGACCTGTGTGCCCAGTGGCAGGAGCAAAGGCAGTGGGCACAAAGCAGAACACAGGAGGGGGTCCCTCTGAACATCAGAGAGCACTTTGTCACTGTGGGGCTGGCTGAGCACTGGCACAGGATGCCCACAAAGGTTGTGGAGTCCCACCTTTGGCTGGAGCAGGTGTTTTCCAGGAGGCCACCCCTAAGGGCATGCTGACTTTACCTAGCAAAGTGAATTTTGAAGGAAAGATAACTCCCAGCTTTTGTTAGGATGGCGGCTTATGGGCCGGAACCCCAATAGGAAAGGGTTCCCAATAGAAAATGAGGGAAGAAAATGCAGACGTTGTAGTGACTATAATTATTAACTGCCAGACAGATAACTTCCAAAAAAGATCAGCTGGCCCCAGGCTCTCCAGAAAGGAGTTTCACCAGGATGCAGAGTTTTGGGGAGCCCCTGGTCTCAGCCCTGTGGCCCAGAGGCCAGCCCGCTCCAGTAAAAAGAAGAGGATCAGGTTTTTTCCACTACTGTGGTTTGTCAGCAGGAGGAATTGTTGGGGTGTAGATCAGTCCCTTTGTATCTGACCAGGAAATGGGTGGCACCTGCCCCATCAGTCAGGAGGAAGGAGCCAGTTCTGGCCCAGAGCCCTCCCCAAAGGCAAGCTTGCCTTCTTCCAGCCTCAGGACCAAGGCATGGCCTTCTGCAGCCCTAAACCTATGAATCAATATCGTGCATAGCACAGGCTATGACGACTTCCTGCTGGACAGGGGAGAGCAGTGGCCCAGCGGGATTGCAGCCAGGCCCTGGGGCTGTGCACAGCCTCTCCTGCAGTTTCCCAGTGCTCTGGACCACCTCAGCCCTCCGTCCATCTCCTTAACCTCTCTTCCTTCCGCTGATAGGATGCTAATTGCTGGTGAAATTTTTCCAGGATTGTGCCTTAGTCATCTGAGCAAGCTCCCTTCCTCCCTTTAAAGTTTTTCCAGGCTTAATTCGACTTTGTATCAGTAGGAAATGACAAGTCATGTCATGTTTTCTTTCCAAGTGTTTCACACTACACTCTACCTGGACACACAGCATCCGAGTGGGGAAGCACAGTGAACCCATGAAGTATTACCAATAGGAAGTGACATTTTTCCTCCTTTTGTTCAGTAAATTCCCTATGGGCTGCAGCTAAAATATTGGAGACATTTTTAAGACAGGAAGGCTGTTGTGGTTTCAGCTTAGATACATTACTGATTTTATTTTCTCTCCAACTGAAACCCAATCTGACTAGTCTAACAGTTTTCAAGTCAAGATTGCAAACGGATAAAAAATCCTGAGACTATGACCTGCGTTCAAGTGCTGGCTCTAACCCTGCTTTAGGATCAGAAAAATGAACCCAGTGTTTCCCTTAAGTAAAGTATTCTTAGTGTGTGGCAATGACAAGAGTCCTTTATGAAAGCAGCAGCCATTTTGGAGCTTGTCCTTCACAGATTTTCCAGCACAGGTGGCAGGAGGAGTGCATCCTGGGCAGGTCTGTTCTGGTGGTTGAATACATCTGCTTAAATATTTTCCACTTTTTAAAATATTCTAAAACATGCATTTGGCAGTTGATCTCAAATTACAGTGAAAAGTAATCCATACCGTGAGTTAAAACTGTAGAGTGTTTTTCATAGAAGGATTTATAGACAGTCAAGGGCATGAAACCCCTCTTTTTATTGCATATGTTTCTTTTTATTTTACAAATAATTATATTCACTGATACAAATGTTCCTTCACAGAAGGTACATTTTTTTTTCTCTTTTTTTAAAAAGGGATAGAGTGTCATCCAAAATAAGCCATTTATTGTTCATTAATATAAAATGTATTCATATTTCTAGGAGGTGTCATATCCAAACCACTGTTCATCCAAATTTCCTGTATGATCTGCTCCCTGCGCTCAATCCTTTCAGCCAGTTCTGCTGCCTCTGCTGAGTTATAACCTGAGTAAGGAGGTCTGTAAAGTCTGTCTGTCTCATCCTGGCTGCTTGAGAGGGAGGAATCCTCCCCCTCCTCTTCCTCCTCCTGGCCACTGCTCTGGTAGGCTCCGGCACTCTCTGGCACCAGCTGATCCCTCTTCCTGTGCAGTTTCTGGATGTCCCTAGGACACGACACGCAGATCACCAAGGCACACAGTGTGAGGATTAGTCCCACACAAACGCTGGACACAAACAGGAGAGCGGCTCTTTCAGGGTGATCTGCAGGCAAGAAAGCCAGGGCTTAATCACTTTGCAAACTGCCAAGGCTGCTTACAACCCCCCAGCTGCCATTCCCTCAGTGTTCTGTAGCCGTAGGGCACCCAAACCTCCCGACACTCACAGCCCTCCCCTGCCAGCTCTGCCTCTCTCAACTGCTGGGCAAAAACCCAGTCTGGTTAGAATACTGTAAAACAACAACGTGGCCCCAGCCCTTTATGAGCAGCTCAGTGCTGTTGTCAACCAGCTACCAGAGCTCTGCACACCTTGTTTGGTCCTTCCAGCCCTCCTGCCAAAACCAGCCTTGCCCTCACAAGCAGGGGCATGAGAAGAGCAGCTCTAGGCTCTGCAGGGCCTCAGCAGCATCTCCAGGCCAGGCTGAGTAGAGAGCACTTCTCTTCCTTTGCACTTAGTGCTGCTAAGTCACAAAATCTACTTGGTCTCATGGCAGAAATGGCTGTGTTTGGGATGGCTTTTTGGTTTTTTTTTATTACTCCTTGATGATCCATGTATGGCCCCATCGAAAAGTTACAAATGTCTTGGCTGCAGTTGCTGTGAGAGTTTGAATCCCTCAAGGCAAGGAGTATTCCCTAAATATCAGTTATGCTGGGATTCTCCCATCCACAAGATTGTTATTATATTGTAATATCATTACCATAAACATGGGATTACTAGTTGTAACCTTCAGAGTTGATCCTCCCTTTTCCCACAATGCCACGATTTGGAGCCAAACAACCTCAGCCTCATTTTCCTACCTCTGATGTATGCAAATGTAGCCAAGTAGTTAGAGCTAACAATAGTTCCATCTTTCTTTGGGAGTCTCGATTCCTTTGGATCAAGGTCGACACCTGTGACACGAGGAGGTAAAGCAAATTCAATGAAGCTACTAAATTGATATTCACCCTGAAACTTCCCAGCCAACAAGTCCACCCAAAACACAGGCAAGCCAGTGCTGCAGAACACTAGACCAAGCAATGGTTGATAAGTTAAATGAAGCATAATTAACAAATTATTGAAGATATCAAACATCCAGAAAATGGCAAATTTATTTAAAAGAGCCTATTGCCAAGTGAAACCCCTCGTGCCTATTCCCATTGGGGTTTCTGAAATAATTTTATTTTATGAAGCTTCACGGTTCTCCAATGGCCTTCCCAGCCCAACCATGCCACGTGCCCCTTTATACTGGGGACACACTTAACTTTGTGGCCTTCGAGAAGAGCTGGCATGGGCATAACTTGTAAAAGAGTCTTTACCCTGAAACAACTACAATTTCACTTTTACTCTTCCCAGCATGCTGGCTCTGGGCAGGTCATTCTTCCCACAGCCTGCAGCTGTGGCTGCAGGACTGGGCTCACATCCACTCCCAGCCTGTCCTCTGCTCTCCAAAGGGAAGAGCAGCTCTTTCAGCAGGGTTTCCAGTACCTCTTCCCAAACCCTGTGTCTGTGGTGGTACATACCATCATTCTGTTTGATGGAAGATTTGTTATCAGGGACCAAGGGGTTGACAGCCGTGAGGATAAATTTAGGAACTGCAAAGACAAAAGACAAATTGTGTTCTTGTGTTAGTTTTAAGAACTCTCTCCCCAGTTAATTGTGAATCCCACTGCTAACCCTGGGGTTATTAACTGGGTTTCTGACAGTGGTGTTGAAGGTTGGACTCGATCTTGGAGGTCTTTTCCAGCCTTAGTGATTGTGTGGTTCTTGTGGAGTCAGGGCAGCTCTGGGCCTGTGATTCACACACCGGCCTGCTCCAGGAACATCAGTGCATCTCCATTCAGCCTGGCAACCTGCCCCTTGTTTTCAGCCCATCAAGGGTGTGCCAACCAGTGGATGGAGACAAAATTGGCCTCTAAATGCACCATAAACTGGGCTACAGCCAGATGCTAAATTGCATCTGGATACTGGGTTTGGATGAGGATAATTCACTGCAATTCTAAGATAAACGTTGAAGTCTCATGCGATGTCATTTGTGAAGCTTCTGAGATGGACAGTTGCTGAGGAAGGTGGGGAGGATGGGAATAAATGAGCTGCATCTTTCTAATTTCATTAATTTATTCCCTTGATAAGCATTCACAGTCCTCTTCAAATAATTAAAAGAACTACTTTGTACAGACGCTGAGAGTTCACATATTCGGTAGTGGATGAATGGGGCCTTCGTCCACCCAGATCTTGGCACCTGTTCCTGCAATGTGTGAAGGCAGATTGGCTGATTTTCAGGCTGATGTGGGGTAAAAAAGGAAGAAATTTCAAATATGACACTCACCTCTATCCCACATAGAAACATTTGCCAAGAAATAGTGTTGAGAGAGTTAAATGGAACAGAGGGGACTGAGGTTTGCAGCTTAGCATAGTTTTCGTTTGGAAAACAACTAAAAATAGCACTTCTTTCTGAGCAGAACTGTTCTTTCTGTGTGGGCTCAAAGTCAGAGCTGTTTCCTTTCCTGATGAAGGAATCCTTTTGGGAGTCTTAGCTCCTGTTTGCAGTGGAAGGCCAAGAGATACAGGGGTAAATAAGCTCATTTCTATTTTGTCTTGTACCTCATGGTAGTTTGTAGCTGTTTTCCAGCGGCAGAATACTTTCCTTGGTGTGTGGGGCAGATGCAATGTAAAAATGCAGCCAGACTCACTATCCCTAAACAGCTGCTGACCACTGGGTGGGAAGTATGGGGTTTTTTCACATTCCTGACCATGACAGAAATACTTTGAAGAGTGGCACAGCCCTGAGAACAGACGTGCTCTGCTCTGCTGAGTTCCTGTCACTGCAGGGGAAGATCTATTTGCATTATCTTGGGAAGCATCAGAATAGCAGGCATCCTCTAGTGAGGAGAATGAATGTAACATGTCATTTCTGGAATATGCCTAGTTTTTCTCATGTTCATTAGATGATCTGTAAAATAATTAGATCTGCAAATCATTGGCTAATGCTTCAGATTGCACAGCCCAGTAAGATCTGGCAGAAGAAAAGCTCTTCCAAATGTGCCAGCAACACAAAAGAGCATTATTTGTTACCCACTTGTTTTTTTGCAAAACCACATCCCTAAATAACAGGATGCGTAACTCCAGTGGAAACAAACTCACTCTGCTTTTCTGGTACACAGAGGTGCAAAGAGGAATGACTTGTTGTAATTAGGCTCATGCTAATTAAAGAGAATTACATTAACTCGTTCATAAAGGCAGCTGCACAATAATATAATGTATTGGTGCAATGGCAGATTCCCAGATCTCTCCAAGAACAGGAAGCTGAATTACTGCACCACCTCTCACAGCTAACAGTCAATTCCTGGGGAGACTGAAAATCTCTCGGGGCTCATTTTCGTCTGATCTTCAGGTAGAGGTGATCTGGCCATCAGTCCCACACTGCTGTTCTTAAAAGCATGTCTCAGGTAACCTGTGCCCTTGGACTACTTCTCACTAGGGATCACAAAGGGCTCCTCAGTATGTGCCTGTGGAGCTGCTCCTGTTGAAGTATTTTAGGGAATTCTGCTCGCCTCTGATGAAATTATATTAGTCTATAGTAAACAATATGGAAAACTGTTCCCTCTTGTCTGAGGAATGAGCTGAAGTACATGTCAATCATGCAGGGGATGTATGCCCTCAAGCCTTTACTCTTCATAAACCTTCACTTCCCTTTCCATGAGAAAGGGAACCCCTCTGTGAGGGAGACGCTGTAGATGTACTCACATGAATCAGGTTTCAGGACTGGGCTTGTACACAGTACTTCAATTATACTGGACTGTTTTACCCGTCCTGATGCCAGGCAATGCCAGGTTATTTTTCCTAGCTCTGTTGCAGGTGAACTCTGTGGAACAAACTCTTATCTTGATAGTATTTTTCAAAAATATTGAACTACGTAGTTGGTATTTTATTGTTGGTTGCATTTTTTTATAGCAAAAAAACCCTTAATGCCAGAGTCTTTGTTAGGTGCTGCTGTGCCCAGGGGGTTGTTCACATATTTTATCTGGCTGTGTCAAAAACTTCCTGTGTTAAAAGGGAAGTAGATATTTAGGAAAGCTCAGTGCCGAAATGTGGACGTGTGTATGTCTTTGCAAGCAGAAATGAGGGCTTGAAAATGACTGTGCATTTGCTCTTACCACATGCATAGCTGACATTTAGATACTTTGTCACTCCAGGTAGGCACGGACTTCCAAACTCCCGGCTAGTGACAATGATTTTGCATCTCTGTTTCCCGTAACACCTCTTCGATAACACTTCCAGCGCTGTGTAGGACAAACAGTCTGAAAGAAAAGATGCATACAATAAATATACAACACTCTCATCCTGAAATGAGACCTGCTGGATGCATGACTAGAGATAGAAATCTGCACCTGATCTCAGGTATAACATTGCCTTAGCAGGATTTCAGAGTTAAATATTAAGATTGTCAATGCAAGGAAGTCAGCTGCAATAAAAATGTGAACTTCCAGCAAGGTCACTCTCCCATGTTGCCTTAAAGGTTCGCACTAAGGGTGCAGGAAGAGTCTTGTTAAGCTCCAAACAGGTGCCCAATATATGGTCTCGATGTTCCACTCAGATGTCTTGGAAAAAACAGGCACATCCAAATAGCTCTCTGTCTATCCCATCTCAAATCAAGAGAGATGAAATGCTGTTTCCAAGTCTGTTTATTGGCCCCAGGTTACTGAGATGAGTCAGCTGGATATCCAAGTTCAGTTCAAGTCAGGTGAGATCAATTTTTATGTGTTGCAACAGCTCAGGCTACAGGGAAGTTGAGGGTATTAAAAAGTAGCTTTTGATTTACTAGGAAAAGGTCTAAATGGGCTCAATATTTAACCAGGGAAACATGTGGCTTCCAAAACTGGGTTTTGCGCTGGAGCTGAAATTATTTGAGTGGGAAAGTGTGTGAGTCACTCTGCTTTGAAAAAAAAAACCAACTTATTAAGTTCTCTGTATCCACATGTGCTAAACTCCAAGCCACAGAGCGAAAAGCACCCTGTAGTTTTGGTTTCTAAACAGAAAGAATGCAGAAAGGACAAGTTTGGAGCAAGTAATTCTTCTCTGAATCTTTCTGCATCACCCCACACACTGCAGCTTTCTGTGTATGACAGATATGTCTCACTCCAGGCTTCTGAGGCAAGGGTGCTCTAGAGGTCTGAAACATCATTCTCTGAGCATTAAAACAGTCCCTCTTCCTACAATAAAAGACGGTCTCCAGTCACCTGCCAACTGCTGAAGCTCATTTCTATCTCTTTAGATGAAGGACAAACACTGTTTCAAAGAAACTCCAAAGGTTCCCCAAATCTGTTTGAAAAGAGGAGAAGGTTTGAGACTGAGTTCTTGACATTTGATGTGTGAAAATGGGGCAGATTTGTGATTTTTAGTGTTAAGTCCCTGACACCATCACTAAAGAAGTCATATACCTGGGCAGAGCCACCAGGAGGTATTGGGCTGCTCTGTCTGGCAAAGGGCTCGTGGGTTGCTTTGGACATGGATTTTGGGAGGGAGCTCTTTGACTTTTCAGACACCTAAAATCCCAATACCTGTGTGTCCCAAGAGACTGCTGGGAATGCAGGGAAAGGCTGACCTAAAGCACTGGGTAGTTCTGATTAAGTAACTCAGCAGTTTTAGTTTCCCTCCCTGGTAATTTCAGATGAGTAAGGATGTATTTGGATGGATGTTTTAGGCAGCCAATAGCTTACTTTGGCAAGTACAAAAACAGCTGGAGAGTATCAGGAGGAATTGTCAGGTGATTCATAAACTAGTGGATTGGGAGCACAACAGCAAACTGGCAAACTGAATTATGTCTTGTATAGAATTGCCTGCCCAGGAGGGATGCTGTGCTGATGGATTTCTACATATTCGGGGATATGGCAACATGAAAAATGTTAAGTTTCATTTTGTCTTTTCTCATGTTTCTGTGGGACTTAATAGCTTCTTATCATCTCTATCCATGCTGGATTTGGCTCCTCTCCCTGAGAGGATATGCAGGCATAGTCATATGCCTACAGGTTCTTGGCAGGCCAGTTTTTGGAGAACCTCCCAAGGCCTTCCTGGTACCACAGGTGGTTAAATGCAAACCGTGGCCTGTTTCTTCTGCAGGACAGGACAGATGTTACCTGGAAAGTCTTATAACATAAAAAACCCTATTTAAAACTTTTCTGAAAAGGTTTTGGGGTTTAGTGATTCAATTAAAAAATCCTGTCTGGTTTACATGTGGCCTTGCTACCTTCCCACTAGTTCTCCCAGCAGCTATGATGGGTTTAACTTGAATAACTTACCCTCCTCATGGTCAAACACCTTTTTCCAGTGGCTGGATGAGGAGAGGTCAGTGCTGTGTTTTGAGTAAAGGAATCCCATGGAATGGCCCAAAAGAATCCAGTGAACTGGGAGATGAACATAAATATGCCATGTGGCTTCTTTCTGACCGAGTGCTGTGTGGTCTACACAGATATCCCTGGGCCTTGTTGGACTGCTACCATACGTTTTCGGTAACCTGCCTCTGGAAAGGCACATTGCTAGAGTGCTGAAAGGCTGCTGGCATCCAGCAGTGGCAGACAAGGCAGCAATGTGTCGCTGGGAAAACACTCCATTCTCCACGCCTTTCTCCCCAAGTTGCTTGTTACACACCAACACTGTCGGTGGATCTTTTGTAGCAGACACTGCTATGGATGGCACAGGGACACGGGTGTCAGGACGAGGTTCTTAATGCAGTAATAAACTATCCAATCTGACTGCAGCTATTTCATAGTCGGAGTAGAAAGCCTTGTTTCGGGAGGAAAGGCTCTTTCAGCTCCCTAATTAGCTTTGTTTGGGAAAGTTTTGGCATGCAAATAGCATGCCATAAATCACGCTGGCTTTAATGAGAAGTAATTTGTCTTCTGGTTTCTTAAAGCTTCTCTCAGTTCGGACAGGAGGAGCTTTCCCTCCCTTTCTTTGCAGCCTGCCACACAAAACCTGCAGGTGATGGAGCATCTTGTGCCAGGCTCCGGGAGCAGCGTCCTGTCCCGCCCTCTCTAAATGTTTCCAACTGCTTTCATCCCCGATTGCTCCTTACGCTGCTGCTCGTTGTGTCCTGGGCTGTGCCCACCCACAGAAGAATGAGGAGCTCTCTTTTAAAATCAGCTGAAAGCAAAGATTTCACACATCCAAATCAGGATGGCTTGTGCTTTGTGGAGCCCAGATATCCACTGTGGGGACGAGAACTGACAAGGGGAAACGAGTTTGGAGCAAGCTAAGGCTGCCGACTCCTACAGAAAGTTGCTGAAATAATATGGTAATTTATGCAAGAGCATGGCACACAGGGTCCTGCCTATGCATCAGAAAAGGGCCGCTTGGACTGCTGATTCCAGCAGAAACACACAATGTGATGGGCAGCACTTCTGTACAAAACCCCCCCACCAAACTTGGTCTCTCCTCCTTGCACATGCATGTGCAGAGTGGGGGATCCATCCCACCAAACACAAGGGGCAAGAGACAAGTGTGGCTCTCCATTTCCTGACAGCAGGAAGCAGACCCCCTGCTCCTGCATGTGCACAGGCAGGAATTCCTTGGCTCCTTTTAGACTTGAGGGCCAAGTGTGCTTTTCCAAACCTTTCACAGATTTGAGCCATGACAAAATAGATGCAAGAAACCCCTGAACTGCTGGTAAAGAAAACATTACTGGCTGAATTGATGTGTGCCTCCACGTGCTCCAAGCAACTTCCACCAGCCAAATCTGATCTTCCCTGCTCATCTCAGAAGAAAGTTATTTGGATTCTAAAAATGGTGGCTGGTCTCTTCCTCCCTTCAAACCATCACTCCTCATTCTGCCACTGCTCTGAAAAGCTCTTCTTTTAAGGGAGTTTTATCTTGACAAAATTCAGAGGGTTGTCTTGACAACATTGATTGGGGCAAAGGGTACAAGGGCTCCTGCTGTCACCTCTTGGGCCCCAAAGCACCTACTAAGCTTCCCAGTTTGCTCGGGCTGACACAGGCAAGGACCTTTTCCTGTCTGATGTTTGCACATAGAGAGAGCTGACTTAAGGAGTTTTGTGATGGAAGGAAAATTGAATTATTCTATCCTTACTTTTGCATCCAACCCTAACCCAAGTGCCCAAAGGCAGTGTAGAAACATTTCCAGATCTGCCTGAAGCTGCTTGTGCCTTCACTGCTGTTACTTCTGCTCTCAAGAAACCTTCCCAGGGGACAGGCTCACACCAGGCAAAGAGTACATCTTTTAGTAAGAGACAGAAACCAAAAGCTTTTCAGTCAGTCAGTGAGTAAGAGCTATAAGGCCCTTTGAATTGGCTACAATATCCAAACAAACAACAAGAATCACAGCATCATAGAATCCTGTTACATTAAAAAAAATCATCACACCTAGTTGGACTGGAAGGAACCTGGAGGATTTTGAAAATCCCCCTTGCTTCACTTTGTCACCCCTTCCTCTTATCTGAATTCCACTGGGAAGAGGAGACTAGGACAAAGCCCAGCCCCAGGGTATGTCATGGCACAGTGCAAGCTGTGATGAGAGTTTGTGAATTCTCCATCTCCCCTCTCAAGCCTCCAGAAGTAGGCCCAGGTAAAAGAGAGGGCTGGACTGGAAAGAAGCCCACCTTGCAGCAATGAGAACCGTGACAGGGGTGTAATTCAGGGCTCTGTTGGTCACTGGTACTTGAGGAGGAATGCACAATGAGCTGACAGTGTGCATCCAGAGGAATTTCTGGGAAGGATATTGCAGTCTTCTAGTTTGCAGGCTGAACCTAGAGGCGACCCACTACCAAGCCTTCTTTCAAGTATTTTCATGTATTAACACGAATAATTTATTATTTGAGAGGTGTTTGTTGACCTCAGTCTTTCTGGTGCTGTCTATGGTAACCTGTTCTGGCACAATTCTTTAACTTCTTCCGACCAATAAATTTTCTGTTTCCTCATGCACATGTTAGTACAAATATAATAGAGATAATGGGTCAGGAAAGGCAGCAATTCACGTAGGAACAAATTGCTGTGGTTTCCTGCTTTGGTGCTGGGCACAATGGATTCCTTTAGGCAGAACCATCTGCTACAGAACCACACCCAGAATTTTCTCGTGAAGTTTTTGCTAGTCTTAGTAAAACAGGGAAGTTGCTTGATGGAAATTCTATAGTCTTATCAGTGCCAGGCATTTGGACAGCTGCAGAAGCTGTCTTTTTACCATTAAACTGGCTCAGAAAACCATTTGCATGAGTAGATACTCATGCTAAATGTGAAGGTGAAGCTCAGGATCCTACAAGTGCTCAAGGCCACACAGGTATCTCCCACAGCAGAGATGGATTTATGTAATTTATTTCCTATATGGAAAAGAGCCTTTATGCCAAAGAAATGTTATGTTTTCCTGGGTTCCCTTTGAAGCAAAGCACTGCAAATCTGTCAGCTGATTTGGCAGGTGGTTCACAGAAAAGCAATGCTTGAGAACACATCTGTCCCAACCCAAAGCTGCTGTTTGTCATTGCTATCACAGGTATCAACAGGTAACCAAGATCTGGAGGAGTATCCAGTTCAATACCCAATACACCTGGCAGGATTGTATCAAGTATGGAGAGATGCAAAACTTTTGAGCTCACCAGAGACTTTCTGGGCCAGTCATTAGGACCTGTGGGTGACTTCTCTTCTGCAGAGTGCTAAAAAAATGGCCTCACAGTTTCTCTGTGATGCAGTGAAAGAACTGGAATGGCTTAAGTGCTGCCCTTAGGCCAAGTTGCACCAGTGTGAGCAGAAACAGTAATGGAAGTGTGTTGGAGCCAACTCAGCTTTTGGTGCAAACATAAATAGGTATGTGGGCTCTGATTCAGGAAGAAAGAGCTGTCTCAAGGCATTACATTCAAATTACCATTGTTTTCCCTGAGAGAAAGGTGGGCAGTCATTGCAGAATTCTAATCGTGCACCCACTTCCATCTGTAGGTGTTAAATAAACACACAAATAAGATTCAGCCTCAAGACAGATCTGGAGTCGATTTGATCTGGCTCCTAAGTGACAAGTCTTTTGCGGTAACTGAATGTGAACTCCCACGCCACACAGGGGCTTTTGGAAATGCCACTGCCTGCAGAAAGTCACTGGTACCACGCAGGAAGAGGCCAAGCACTTCCATTAGTAGTAGGAAATCCATACAAGGCTCTACCTTCTGTAGATCTGCTTTGTGTTTGTCTCAGGTTTTCTGCTCTCTCCTATCACGAGTGTCTTAGGCTGCTTTACAGAGCACAAAACCAGTGCCAGTCAGGGTGTTGCTGCACATGTGCTTGTACACAGGGGCCACAGCAGAGCTTGTTGCTCTTGCGAATTCCTTCTCTTCTTCCTGGGAAACTTTATCCATTAGGAAAGGTTTGCAGAATTCTTATCTGTGACCTGTGAGTGCTGACATTAGAGGCAAGGGAGTGATTTTGAGAGGTCAGTGAAATGCAAGACCTAAGTGTGGTGACAGCTTCTCTTGATCAGGCAAACATCTCTGCCCTGCCTTATGTCACCTGTTAATGCCACTGTGAAAGCTTATTACTTTGCTGCATTTCTTACTTTATGTTTCTCCCTCAGTTTGGGCAGTTTGTTTGAGTTTCAGAAATAATCTCTCCCACATTTCCATCAGTGATGCTCTCAAAACACCATTGCTCTTGCACCTGGAGTTTCTCCCCACCTGTGTCCTCTCTTCCCTGTGCTCCTGCCTAGAGAAGGTCCCTCAGCGGTGCCCAAACATACCAAAGGGGGGTGTGTGCTCCGCCTTTGTTGAGCAGACGCTCTCCTCGTGTGCCCATCTGCCGTAGGTGGCCGAGTAGATGATAAGGAACTTGGATTCCTGACAGTGGAGCTTCAGTTCCTGGTTTTCACATGCTGATTTGGTTTTGTATTCAGCTAAAGTAGAAGCAAACAGCAATATGATAGCGTGAGGCAATTTAAATAGCTGGACTGTTAATAGCAAATAGCAGCAGGACAGAAACCAGCTTTCCTGCAAATGCTGTTGCAAGTGACACATGGCATCTGTACAGCCAGACACAAAGTCAAGAGCAGAGTGCTTCTTCCAAATGAACTGTGCACAAGTGATTGTCTAGAGTCCATGGCTCCATTTTGAACAGAATAGAAAACCCTAATTTTGCCAGTCTCCTTTCCCAGTGGAACAGCCTCCCTGCTTTCCTGCCTTTCTTTCCATTCCTGCTCAGCGAGAGAAGCTTCATCCTTGCCTTTTGTCTCTCCTCAGGACACTGCTGCGTTCTACGGGTGCCTCAGCTGCCTCTGCACACTCGTGAGTCACGGGCAGGGCTGGCAGTGTTCAGTGACAGCCATGGGTGAGGCACGGACCACGGGAGGACAAAAGGCCAGGACAAAAGGGGTCCCCACGCCAAGCCAGAGCCCTCTCAGCTGTGTTTGCATTGCTCCACCGGGGTCAGTGGCTTTCCCTAGGCAGCACTATCCAGCGAGGGCTCCTTTGAAAGTTTGGCCGGCAAAACTTTCAAAGTGAACTAGGAGCCTGAAAAAAAATCCCTCCCTCCCTCGCTCAGCTGGCACAGGCAGCCTGGCAGCACCCTCAGCAGATGTGGGGAAGGCACTGAGCTCATCTTCATGGCTTATCCCTCCTGGGGAACCCCTTTAAGTCTGCCACCTGGCCTAGGCAGCATGTCTGTTCGTGGTGGCCTTTTACCTTCTTAGGTCTACCTGTTGAGCTGTGGTGCCAAACCTTTTTATGGCAGATAAGGCCAGGGAGAAGAGTTTATTCTCCTCCATCTTTTTGGTCCTCAAAAATGTGAAAACAGGAAAAGGGAATTCCTGAGCTGAGCAGAAGGGAAACTTTACTGTTAGCGAGTGGTATCCCTGTGAGTGGAGGGTGGATGCTAGTTCTTCGGGAACTGGAGAGAGAAAAACCTCCTGTGTACTCATGAATGTAAACATTATTGTTTCATCCAAAACAGAACAGATAAAACAGTGGGTTAATGTTCTTGGTAACAGTCCGAGCTCATCAACAGCCACAAGCTTGAGTGTGAAAAAGAGTGATTTTGAAAAATATTTTGAAAATATTTTTGAAAACGTTTTGAAAAACACTTGACCCACTGCAGGTTGGGACTTCTGCAGAAGCACCTCCCATGCTGTGCACACATCAACAGGCCAAAAACCTGGGGCCTGTGCCCAAGGACTGACAGGCTACAGCTGGACTGAGTCCGCCTGGCTGTGCTGGAGAGGCTGTGGAAGTACATGTAACCCCAAGTGGTATCAGACAGGGAGAGGAGCCCGACATGCAACATCTCTGCAAAGATACGGCAGCAATAATTCTAAATAGATGAAAAACTAAGGGATTTAGGCAGCTGCTTAAGTGCCCACTTGACAGCAAGGAGACTGCAAAATAGACTTTAAGTTATCCTCAAGTGATTTCCTGAGTAAGGATGTTTTCCACTGCCAAAACTAACAATATTGGTATCTTACCTGAAAACATAAATTTCCTTTCACAAGAAATCATGTCATTTGCAGTGGAATTGAACTATTCTTCAATTCTGAAGGCAGCAGTTGCTGTTGAATAAGCTTTTGACCAGCTTTTTAAAAATCACATTACAGAAAATACTATATACTCAAAGAAGCTCATCTCCCATGGGAAAAAAAAATATTAAGTAGCTTCCAAAAGTAATAAACAGTGTCCCAATTCACTTTTGAGTAGCAAAAAGAATTAAACTATTGATCTAATAAAACAGATAATGAAAATTTGAAATTTCAGGCATTTTCTTTCCCCTAATGATTGGCCCAGTGTATCTCCCTGGGAATTCTTGAGTCAGTGCTTTACCAAAGGTAACATCTGCCTTCTCCACTCTGTCTCTCTGCTCTGACTTCCACTTTGCAGTGTGAGCTGGCCTTTCAGTTTGCTTGCCACCTACTCCTGTTCTACCACTGATGTCTATCTTAGTGCTCTGATCAAAGAAAACCCCCTTAGTGCTTTCTCCTTTGCTTGTGAGTTGGTGTTTCTGTGTTGGCTGGTGAAGATACTCATAAACCATCATTCAGCTGTTGTCTCTGGGAGCCATTTCATCCACACTGGGAATTCAGTGCCAAAAGAGCTGAGCCCCCAAGCTACTGAAGCATGTTCTCATGTACCATAGCAACAAGGACAACGATTACAAACCACTGGTAAAGGCAACCTCATGAGGATTGTCTTCATCGTTCTTCCCCCTTTCTCATGTTGACAGAGTGGATTCTCTTGGAGGCAAGATTTGTCCCTTCACATATCAGCATCGAATGCCTGCACAGAGTACAGGTGATTCTACAGTAAAAGCCTCTCACCAAGCCTGCACAGGTATCTTCTGGCCATTATTCCATAAATGGGAGGTGGTTTTGAATCTGTAAAAGCTTTGGGCCCAGCTCCTTCAGTATTTTTGCATACTCCTTCCTAGGACACCTTCTTCATTTGGATGCTTAGCCCAAGCACCTGGTTTTGCTGTTCAGCTCTTTCTGATAGGACATTATCATTACTATCTCACTAAAAACAATTTCTATAGCATTTTCCCTTTCTAGTCTGATGTCTGACATCTGCCCCTGACAAACTACACTGGTCATTAAACTGGCAGCAAGCACCCTGAAGCTGCAAACACCATGGAGAGCTAAGGTAAAGTAGAAAAGAACAATTTGTTATCAATCCAAGAGCCCCATAACTTCACATGGATTTATGCAAAGCCTCGTGCAGTGCATTTTAACCAAAACAAGCAACAAAACACGCAGAGAAACACATTTGCCTGATAAAGATTACTTACTAGGTTTGCATTTAAAGGAGACAAGGAGGAATTTAGTGGTCCCTGGACACAGATCAGGCCCAAAAACCCGACTATTGACAAGGAGTTGGCAGGATCTCAGGTTTTGGCATTCATCCAGTACTTTCTAGAACAATGGGCAAAAAGGATAGTCTTGACAACAAGGTATGAAGCTATACAGCAATGAAAACACTTAGTTGTACTTTGTTCTACACAGGAGAGAAATCACAACTTCTTGGCTATAAACATGCAAGAAACATCTGTATCACTGGATCTAGGCCATAGCTCTACTGGACTTGGAGTCATGGCCAACTTGATGGGAACACATTCATCACAGCCATGCTCAGAGCAAATTAGGATGTTACCAACTTGCTGTTGTTTGTCACTCTTCCCTCTGGCCCTGGGGAGGTTGGCTTCACTCCCCTGAGTGCCACCACAGCCTCGGTGGTGCAGAGCCCAGAGCATGTGGGAGCACACTGTGGGAGTGCAATGTCCAAGGGAAAGCATGGCAACCAAGAAGGTGTCTTTTTAACCACTTCTTCTTGATCTGCTTACATGTACCTGAACATGCTCTGTATATAATCTCCACTGGAAAGAGTTCTGAGTAATGATAAGCACAACCCAAGCTTTAAGCCATGTGTAGGACCTCTTGCTTAAGGGACACTTCCTTCTCTACTTGCAGTTAGTCACATTTTCAGATATTTACTTGACTTGCCACGAGCAAACTTCAGAATTGCTTTGACTGGATAGCACAGATGTGCAAGTCTATCCTCAGCCTCCTTGTCTTGTTTCGTGGGGTGTTTTTAATGCTGTTCTAAGGCCATATCTACTCCAAATTTACTGGCCCAGCAATATATCCTGGTTCTTACTGTGCAGCTTCCCTGGGAGTGGCAACAGGGGAAGAGAACAAACAGGTCAGCAGTGTTATACACAAAGGGTGCCCTGGGCTCTCTCCCCATCTGGCAAAAGGACTGAGTGCTCCTGCTGCTCACACTGGTGCTCCCACTCCAGCTGTGCTCTGGGAACTGTAGCTGCAGAAAATATGAAGACATTACCAGGGCCAGTCTGTCCAGTTTTGAAAAGCACCCAGTTTAAATGCAGCAGTGTATTTAGGAAATTCTTACTCACCTCCAAAACTCAGTTAAGAGAGGGCCTTTCTGACACTATTTCTGGATAGCCTGGGTGCTTGAGCACAGGATTCATGATGTGTAAAGTGAGAGCAGGCTGTGACAAAGGAGGGTGTTATCTCCAGGTCACTCCACTCTTAACGGGAGTAACTGTAATAAACCATTCTGATAGTTTTAGGTAGTCCCTCAAAATCCATGGGAATTTTTGCTTTGTTTCCTCGTCAGAAGAGGTCTCAGTCATACCAAGAGACCAGATCACAAATCTACCACTGTGGTGGTGGCACAAGCTGCATTCCTGTTTCCAGGCTGAGAGAGCTGGCAGTCGCTGGCTCTCTGCTGTGATCACTGGAAACCTTCCCTCCCAAGAAGCAATGACACACACTGGCAGCACCCTGTAGTGATCCTACAGCTCCCATTGGCAGAGGAAGAGGACATGCATCCAACACTTTTTGAGCATTAAATGCACTCTAAAGTGTTTGAAAGGGAAGGAAAGCACAGCAGACTTAATTTTATCCGTCAGTTTTCCTTTTACGGAGTTTTAAGTCAAACAAGTAACTCCTCCTTAATTGGGATAGTTCTGGAAGGTCCAGTGAAATAGAGTTACGTCTTTAGTAAATAGAGATAGCTGTCCCCTGCTGAGTCACCTTCTGTTTGCACCTGAGCTGAATCATCTCCTGTGCATCTGTTTGTATTTTCTCCTGCCTGTTGTAAACAGCAGTTGCATTTTCTGTCATGATGCTGTGCAAAAGCACGCAGCCACCAAAGCAAGCAACAATACTGAAAATAGCAGCGGGCAGTTACTGTCTCTAGCCAGATCCAGCTTCGTGGTGATCCCCCTGACAGGACAGGAGCTCTCTGTAACAGGTGCCTGTGGTGCTTCCTCCCAGCTACAGGGCACCATCTCAGCTGCCTGTGCAGACTGCAGATCCACTTCCAAAGGGAACGGGAGGAGGGATGAGGTCACTGGTGCTCTTTTCTAAGAAATCGGTTTACAAGATGTGTCCCTTCTCCTTAACAGAACTGGAACTCCCTGAGATGCAGAGCATTTGTTTCTCACACGAATTCATGGCCTTGCCAAAATGCTTTCATGCCTTTGATCAGTCGCAGTGCCCAAATGATGGTGGTAGTTTATACAACAGTTACCCCACGCTGTGTTTATCATATTCAAGGAAAAAACTGCCCATGGAGACCTCACAAAGGCATTCACAAGCCCAAAATAATCATTGGTGCCGCTTTGCTGCAGTCAGTAATGTAACACTAAGGATGCATCTGGCCTGCTGTTTTTGGTGGGGAGATGTACTTTCACATGGCCCACAGGTCATGGCTGGAATGTCCTCAAAAATTGCAGTACATCATGGGCGAGCCACACTTACAAAATTGCCCTAATGCTGTTTCTAGAGAGAGGATATTGCTGCCAAACCACTTCATAATACCCTTCAACTCAGTAGTGGTGGGAACAGAAGTTCCCTGATGTCAAGAAGGAACCTGTGGTCTACAGACACGAATGTTGCAAACTCCATCAAAACTTCTGTTGAGCATTTACAAGTTTAACCAAGAGAACATGTTCAGATTCCCCTGGCTACTCATCCTTGCGATGATTTACCAAATTTGGAACAGCACTGCGTATTTTTCACTAAGATGAAACAAGCCTTTGACAGCAGCGTAAGTCAGACCTTGTTACAAAAGTCTCCATAGCAGAAAGTAATAACTGATGAAGTATAAATCATTTTAAGCTATACTGAAGCAGGCCCAGCAAACAAACCGTGGGATGTTGCTGACACAAATCAGGTATTCACAGAAATGCAGGTATCTGCAGAAATTCTTGGGATTTGCTGTTTAGCTGTTGCTGTGCCTTTTCAGTGAGGGAAGACAGGCATGCAACAAGCCAAATCCCAACCAGGATGTCATCTCAGTCACTGGTGGTGAACTGCCACAGGTACAGTGTCATGCATTCACGGCTGAGAACACTCGCACAGAAACAGCAGGGAAACCGTCCTCGACATTCTGTACCTCGAGTACCTTTACATCCTGCAGTACCTGCAAAGAGGTGGGTGCCACGCAGTTCCTGGGTGCTGCCATCCTGGTCTCAGGCTCCCAAGCCCTGCACATGTGGTGGTCCTGCCCATAAAATGCTGACTGAACACTGATGGTTGAGTGCCGAGGGCAGTGCAGGCTCAGGTGCTGCCCGTCGCAGGCATAGGCGGTGTGATTCTGCAGGAGCTTCGTTAGGTAGCCTAGAAAATATTCAGCTCTGTTAGGACTAGCACAGGAAATGACAAACTCGTTAGAGAATAAGAAAACCACAGTCAGTCTCCGGAAAGGGCATTGTAGTCAAGGTTATAGGTCTGGCCTGCAGCCACCCGCTTCTCTGAATGGGTCACCCCTTGCGTGCCCGTAGCACTCCGGGCTGGGAAACACGAGGTCTCGTGGCAGGGTTGTACCGACTATACGTGGCTCAGGCCCTTGCCAGTCGTGGCTGCTCACGATCCCAGGGCGTGTCTGCAGCAGTCAGAAGTTACCCAAGGAGCTACTGGGTTTTCTGGGCCAGGTTCTTGCATTCCAGCTGCCTAAGGTATTCCTTATGCGTCTTGTTAAAAGGATGTGCTGCACTTTTGGGCTCGTGGGCAGCTGTGTTTCACACACTCCTAAGTATAGTGGAGGGAAAAAAAGCCCCTCACATTTTCTTATGGGAACATTGTCTTGTTGAGGCTGAATCAGGGGCTTTTTTGTATCATTAAAACACAAATTATTTTTTTCAAAGAAAATACTGAAAAAGAGTTTACTCCTTTCAATTAATAAAAATTTGCCCTTTAAATAAAATGTGCCAGTTAATTTTCACACTTCTGCCCTTCATAAACCTTGCCCAAAGACAAGTAATTTTCAAAAAGGTTTTTTAAATAGAAACTTTAGTACTCCAAGTAAAAGATAGGAAAATCATGTAATCATAGAATGGCCTGGGAGGCAAAGTTCCTTAAAGATCTCCCAGTCCCAACTCCCCTGCCACCTTCCACTAGAACAGGTTGCTCAGATCTCCGTCCAGTCTGGCCTTGAACACTTCCAGGGATGGGTCAGACAGTTCAGTTGTCTGGCATCTTTTCCAGCTCCAGCTGTGCATCTGGATAAGGAAAATCAGCTTCCCTATCAGTCATGAGGTCGGGAGGAAGGAGAAGCCTGCTCCATTGTTATCTTTACTGTTCCCCATCCAGAGCCCAGGGGAGGACAGGGGAGTCAGGCAGAGGCACCTTCCAGCAGAGCAGAGCTGTAGGTGAGCCCCCCGTCACTGACCTCAGTCTGAGCACAGGCACTGGAACAGAAAAAATTTCATGCCCTGCATTTGCACTCTGGATCTCAAGGAGACCAGTCCAGCAGCAATCCCCACAGCTTCTCACAGGTTAGAAGGAACAACCGAGCCCATAACCAAATCCATCCCCTACATTTTCCGTGCAGTTGAGATCACAAATAATTGAAGTTCCCTGCCAGAGCCCCTCCTCTGCCAGCCTGCTCCTGAGAGGTGCCGAGTGCTGCCAGGAGAATGGGCCGAGTGCCCGTTGCACCCAAGGGACTTGGCAATGGCCAGGACTGCACAGGGGCTTCCTGTGGCATCTTTGGCATCACCATCACGGCATGAAGCACCTCAGTGTCCTCAGAGGATTCAGCCCTACGTGACCTGTGGGTGCTCAGCGCCCTCAAAGATACCACCCAACACTTTTACTCATTTCAGTTCCTCAGGTTTTAAGCTACTTGGGGCCAAGAGTGCTCTATACAAAACAGTCCAGTATTCCCTAAAGAATATCAGCTATGCTGCGATTTGGATGAGTTCCCTGGCATCGTAACTGCTACTTTGATCCTGCAAATTCCTAATCCAGAATCTAAGCACCTTTCTCCAACAATTGCAACTATTCAATCCTTTAAGAAAATGTCTTTATAAAAAAGACCTGCTCCGATTCTGTAGGAGCAGTATGGTTTGTGTGTAAAAATGACAGTAGATGGACTGGTGAAAAAAATCGTATTTCATTTTCTTGCTCTCCAGCCTTCCAAGCATCTTAAACATGACTCTACTAAAATCCTTGTGAATTTGCACACAATAAAGGTTAAAAATAGTAATGGAAATTGCTGAAACCTAATGTTCTCTGATAAGAGGAGTGGTGACAGAGTATCTAAAGTGCTCATCTCACAAGGCAGACCACGTAAACCTGCATTTTTCATTACTGCACACAAAGACACATGTGGAACAGTCAGTCCTTTGCAGCTCACAGCCCATGCTGAGGAAGGATTCCTGCTCCAAAAGTCATTATTTCCTCTTAGCCTTCTCTGAAAAATCCCAGGTTCTTTGCTGTCTCCTCATGCTGGCCCTCTCCTGGTAGCGGGGCACTGTCTGCCCTGCACTCAGCAGTTTTCTCAGCTGCTGCTGCTTCTCCTCCTTTGCTGGGTAGTGTGGCTTGTAGTCATCCTGACAGAAGCTTCACCTTCTTGAGACCATGAGGATCTCTGTATTGTGTGCTGACTTCTGTCCAGAAACACGTGTTCCCAGAGGGAGCAAATTCAACCAAACAACAATGTAAAGCTGGGGGTAATCTGGTGTGATGTCTAACAGTAATAACAGCTGCAGTGATCAGAAGTGAGGGCATTGTGAGCGTTGAACTCTTCCTTGGGCAGCTTCCTGTCCTCTCCTTTTGTGTTTACTTCATCAGTACCTGTTGGTTGTGAATTTGGGGAGAACTTTCTTTTACTGTCTAAATATGGGAGCTGGAGGCTGTTCCTGGACTAGAGCAGACCTCCAAGTCCTGGTCCCCTGCATGTCAGGGAAGTCTTCACTAGCTCCTAGATGGCCAAGGAGATTCCCTTTCCCTGCAGAGCAGGGCAGAGGGGGGGGCTGGAGCACAACCAGCATGGATGCAGTGAGGTCCTGGCTCCGTGTGCACTTGGGCTGGGCAATCAGAAGAGTTGTGAGAAACTTGTGGGCTTTCTTACCCTGAGCAAAGAGAATCATAACCAGACCCTATAAAAAACCTTAGGTGACTTAATGTTTTAAACCTCATATTGGGGTTTTTGCATTGTTTTCTGGGTCGGGTAATGGAGGGGGAGATGGTATTCAGCTGCAGCAGTTGCTTTTCCAAGTGTTCATTCTGTAATGAGGAGGACTATAAAGTTCCTCTTTTTTTTTAGAAATAATAAATGTCACTCTTTAAAACAATATGAAACTATACCAAAAAAGTTAACCACCCTGAGAACTGACTAAAATAGAAAACCTTGGCAAGACTGCAGTGTCCCAATAACATCTCTACATCTCTGTGTGAAAACCCCACTAGGCACTTTCCCATTTATCCAGGACACACATTCAGAAGCAATGTATGGGGTGCTCTGCATCTGGAATCATACGCGAGACCTTAGAGGCTGACTCAGAAGTTAAGCCTAAAGCACACAGGAACAAAAAGATCCCATTGATTTGAAGGCCAGAAGGTATCATCCCACCCAGCTGTCTGTCTAACCCAGACTACTCATTCATTGTAATCTTTTACTGAGACTCAAAACACCAGTACAGAATCCAAGGGTAATCCTTTCTTCCAGAATTAGCCAAATTAGTCACAGCATCCACTGTGTTGACAAAGAACTTCAACTAAGAAAATGTAGCACCAGAGAACCACACAAAACACTGAGGGTGAGCAGCTGAACAAAGCTTTCAGCCTCACTGATCACTTTTTACTGAAAAGGAGGACTCATAAACTATTAGAAAAATGACTGGCATAGGAGAATAAATAGATATTTCTTTGTGTGAAAAAGAATTCTCAAGAGGTTATAGCTTCTCATACTTAACCACTTCTCCTGGCATAATCACTTTGAAAAGCAACAATAAGGGTAGCGGCGGACTTGAAGGTATGGTAATCCAGATTTTTTTTTTTTCCCCCCCACTTAAAAACACTGAAAATCTGGGAACTTAGAAAGTTCTGTGATTGTTCTGTTCAATCCAGCTTCTCTGCCCTGGCATGAGCTCCCCAGATGCAAGGATCAAGGAGAAGAGCATTTCAGGCTGTAAGCCCAATGCCCAGCACACACTAAAAGCACTCTCAGCATTGGCTCAGGTAATGCCTTTTGGGTATGGGAGCAGCTTTGCAATGCAGTATTTTTAGAGGCTGAGGCTGAGTAGTCCACAAGCTGTGAAGGCTCTCAGAAGTGGGCCTTCATACACAGATTTAGTAACAGCAGTTCCTGTGCATCGTTCATTTTAGTTTAATTAGCACAGAAATTTGCTAGCTCATTTAAAAGACATACTGATCTATTTTAGATGTAAATAGATCGAAATAGCACGCATATTGTTGTGGGAGTCCCAGAAGGCTAATCCATCCGGTAAATCTCCATCAGCTCCCACAGTTCTGTGAAGAATTGTGCCAACACTCATTAAAAATTCACAAGCCAGATTGGTGAGTTTAAAGGAAGAGATTTCATGCAGTGATAACAGAATTGTTAATAAACTCTACTACAAACACCATTAGAAGCACGACTCTGGTATTGATTGGTGTTTGGGCTTCCAGCTGCAGTACTTCTCCAGCAACATTTTCTCCTCTCTCTTCTGTGTTGGTTTGTGAAGGAAGCATTGAGGAGAAATTAACTCCCGAGTTTCAGCCCCAATCCCATCTGCCATACCCTCTGCTGGGCTCTATGCAGCTGTGCCACAGGTCATGCTGTGCCAGGGTCTCTGCCCCCGGGGACAAGGATCTGCCTCTTGGCATTCCCTTTCACCTGGCTGTCTGCAAATTCTGCCTGTAGCAGCTCTTTTTTAGGAACAGTAATTGAGGAGGGCAACATGCTACCCAGGAAAGAGACTGTTCCTAAAATTCATGTCAGTATGTTTCTTGCTTCATCATTTTATTCTTTTTTATCTAAGTGCCTTGTAAACATCCTGTTTGACTCATCGTAGCCATGCTCCGTGTCAGTCTTTAATCAGTAAGAAATACACTTAGAAGCATCCTTTATTCTTCTGGTTGTTCAGAAAAAAGCACAACAGCTTTACTCAGCAGATGCACATAAAAATCTTTAATTCCTTAATATGTGCCTTCTTGCATAGTCACCAATCTGATTTAATTGCCCTCCATAGCTTGTTTTTTCAGTATGCCTTTTGCTACTGCTCCTCTCAACCCTTTTTCTCTTTGCTAGTGACTACCATCCTACCAACTTCAGCCTTTTGTACTGCAGAAATGGCATGAAAACTTGGTTTTCTGTACAAGGAAAATGGTTT